GTCTTTTTGAGTTATTAAGACCATGAGATCAGAAACCAAATCTTCCTTCTATCTGCTCTATCAAAACCGTAAGATTATTCGGAGTCGTTATCAAGATATTCAAAGAGTTGCAAACGAAAAAGCTTGACATGTTGTGAAAAACCTTTTTTTTTCCTTTTTAAATCACATCAAATTTCTCCAAACTTGGTAGTGAGCAGATAGAACTGTGTAGTAATTCAAGGGTACCGATCTGTGTTGACATTTCTTGTATGGCGTTGCTGAGATACCATAGGTAGTGATAAGAATGAATATCTCTCGTGTGTCAAGAGAAGTTGAGGCTTTTCATACTGCCGGGGGAATCAGCACGTTTGGGTGTCTGTCGTCTAACGTCTGACGTCCATACATATATTACGAGTTGGAACGATGACAGGTTAAAAAAAGGAGGCAAGAGGTATGTGTGTGTGTGTGTGTGTGTGTGTGTGTGTGTGTGTGTGTGTGTGTGTGTGTGTGTGTGTGTGTGTGTGTGTGTGTGTGTGTTGGGGAGAGGGGGAGGGATTAGAAGAAAAGTGTGATGTGTGAGAATTGAGGAAACAGGCTTGTCTGAAGTTAACAGAATAAAGTAAGATTGGACAAGGGAAATGCGTAGTAGGACAATAAAACGTATTGTTGTTCGGTTGTTGTTGGGGGTTTTTTTTGACAGGTATATTACACCCCCCCCCCCTCCATCCACACAATTTAACTCATTAAGGAGGTGGGCTTTGATCCTGCCTGCTAGGATCAACCCTGGCTGAGAGGGATACAAAGTCCAACCAGCAAGAAGACTGAGATACTCGATGGAAAATCTCCCCACGAGGGAATGGAACTTGGGTCTCTTTCGTGTGACAGTGATGAGCCTAACCACTACAACGCATACGCCGGACAGAATTTATAGAAGAGGATCAGGTGTAATCTTACAATGTGTCACACCTTTAGACAAAAACACAGAATTATAGAGAGACAAACTAATTACAAACACTGACAGAAAAACAGAGATAAAGACAGAGGGAGGTGGTGAGACAGGGGTGGGAAGGGGAGGGAGGGTGGAATGGGGGGAAAAGGCACAGACAGACAGACAGACTGACTGACTGGCTGACTGACTGACTGACTGACTGATTGGCTGACAGATTTTCACAGAGACAGAGACAAAAACGGAGACAAGGACAGGGAACAGGGACAGATACAGGGGCAGACAGAGAAAGAAAAAGTGGATGAAAGGGAACCAGACAGAAAGAGAAGTAGAGAAAAAAGAGTTCGTCACATATACAAGAAGACACCAGTAAGGACAGCTGAAACTTCAACAAAACGACCCATAACGTCAATAATAACAACAACAACAACAGCAGCAGCAACAACAACAACAACAGCAACAACGACAACGACACCTACGACAACAACAATACACTACCACCACCACAACAACAACAACAACAACAACAACAACACACCACCCCCACAACAACCACCACCACCACAACAACCACCCCCACCACCACCACCACCACCACAACAACAACAACAACAACAACAACAACAACGACGACGACGACAACAATAACTCCCCCATGGTGTAGTTGATGGCGTCTGTCTCCGTCATGTTGCCAAAATCAGGTTGTCCCGTGATGCACCACTAACAACAGCAACGACAGCGACAACAACAACGACAGCAACAACAACCAGCACCACAACAACAACAACAACGACAACAACAACAACAGCACCACCACCACAACAACAACAACGACAACAACAACAACGAGGACGGCAACTCACTCAATAACCGAACACCACCACAACAACAACCTCAACGACAACAGCAACAACAACAACAACAACAACAACAACAACAACAACTCACTCATGGTGTAGTTGATGGCGTCAGTCTCCGTCATGTTGCCAAAATCGGGTCGTCCCGTGATGCACCACTAACAACAGCAACGACAGCAACAACAACCAGCACCATCACCACAACAACAACAACGACAACAACAACAACGAGGACGGCAACTCACTCAATAACCGAACACCACCACCACCACCACCACCACCACAACAACAACAACAACAACAACAACAACAACAACAACAACAACAACCACAACCACAGCGACAACAGCAACAACAACAGCAATAACTCACTCATGGAGTAGTTGATGGCGGCAGTCTCCGTCATGTTCCCGAAGTCAGGTCGCCCAGTGATGCAGTTGGGCGTGTTCCAAGAGTTCCCGCAGGTGGACCAGGGCAGGTCGCCGTCAAGGGAGATGAGAGCGTTGAGCAGGTAAAAGATGCCGTACATGACGATCACTTGGTAGTACAGCGACACCATGCCAGAGATCATCACCATGGCAATGCCCAGGCCTGGTGGGTGGAAATTTTTTTTTTTTAGTTTTTAGTTTAGTTTTAGTAAGGTTTCTCGACGCTCGCAACCGCATAAGGTTATATTATGAGCCTCAAGGGGGGGT